AGTCGCTCCAGAAAAAAAGAGAGAATATGAGATTGCCCACTTGCAACCAGGACAACTGCTCTGGACAAGGAGACCATAGGAACTGAGGTTTTTGCAGTTAGCTCGTGAGTCCAGTGGCTGAGGATTGAGAAAAATTCAGTCAAGCTCACAGCCATAATGCCACCTATATGGACACAAAGTTCACAAAAGCTATACTTTCTTAACCACTTTTAGATACAATTTATTTACAGCTAAAGAGAGATTTTCTCAGCAGTAGGATAATAGAAATCCACTTGGTGAAATCAACATTCTTTCTGGATTAGAAAAGGGGGGAAAGGGGAGGAGGAAGAAGCTTCAAAGGATTTAAACTTTTAGCAAAAGGCTTAACAAGGATTGAGTACAACGAAGTTTAAAAGTGATAAAGGCAATAGTATTTTTGAAATGTTGATTTTTGATAAAAATGCTTTGGAATGAATTGGAATTTAATAGAAAACAGAATGGACCTATGCTAGAATATTATTTGTTAACTATTAAGGAGTGCAGACAATTAATGGATTTGATCAAACAAAGGATAAAGATAATATGAGCCACACCATAATGGTGACTGACTGCGGAGTGCCATTTGAGACAAAGTATTAAGAGAACAGAAAGACAAAACAGGAAAAAGCCTGCCTTTTACTCTTTCTCTTATATTTGAAATACTTTTACATTATAATATTGCAATAGGACCCACCAGGGTGGGATTTCTAAAGCAACATGCAGAGACAAATTACACCAGACTTGCTTCAGAAAATGTTTGCAAAATCAGGCAGTGAATAACCTGAATCACTTAATATTAAATGGACATCTTTTGAAAAAAGAATGTGTAAGACTTGTAAAAATGAAAAAAGAAATGAAAGAAAAAGTTGAGAAAATGGAAATTGCTGTACAGCAAATCACTGGACCACTACAACAAATTAATGACCAGGTGGAAATTCTGGAAAGTAAAACTGAAGATATTAAAAAAGAGAGCTAGAAAGTGAATTAGATAATCTGGCATTACTGGAATGGACATTTTACCCAGGGAAATTCCAGAGGATTCTGGTGAACATATTATAGAAAATATTATTAAAGCCTTATTTATTTATTTTTTGAATGAGATGAAGATATAGAGGCAGGTACTGAAAGACAACGTCTGTTGGAAAGACAACGTCTGTTTATTACTCAATGGACTTATGAACTTTCTGTGTAAAACAGAAAAAGATGAACTAATGATTTATTGTTTTGTTGATTTGATACGATAGATCAGGACTTTTCAAACTTTTCACCCATTGTACCACTTTTAGGATATGGCAACATCCAAGTACCACCAGTCACCTAGCAAGGTGTCAAAAACTTGATGATCAAAAAAAAAAGGGAAAAAAGTGATAAAGTACAGGTAGTCCTCAACTTACAACAGTTTGCTTAGTGACTGTTCAAAGTTACAATGGCACTGAAAAAAGTGTCCAAGCCACAGTCGAGCAAGACACCAGCCTGCCCACACGGCAGCGCTCTTCCTCCTGTCTGAGGTTTTCATTGTTGTGAGCATTTCTGTCAGCGGGGGTGGGGTGGGGAGTATTTGATTTTTATTCCCCCATCTGCTGGGTGATTGCAGCAGGCTTTGGTCACTTCACATGACTCTGGGTCACTGGGACCATCATAAATATAAATCAGTTGCCAAGCATCTGAATGTAACTCACAAGACCCTGGAGATGCTGCAACATTCCAGCTGATCAGCGCTTCTTCTGGGCTCAGCAGAAGCACCAGGATCAGTGCTGCTTTCCAGTTGATAGGTGCTTCTTCAGGGCTCAGCAGAAACACCAGGATCAGCGCCGAGCTCCAGCTGGAGCCTGGCGCTGATCTTGGCGCTTCCGCTGAGCTGACAGCTCCAAAAAAGCACCAATCAGCTGGAAAGTGGCACTGATTCTGGCGCTTCCACTGAGCCCTGACAGCCCTGCTGCTCCAGCCATCTCTTGCTCAGGCTTGTGTAGTGCTGCCACCAGTTCAGCTCATTCCCCTCCCCCGCTATCTTTTATAGGATGATCACGTACCACCTGCCAGGTGCCAATGTACCACAGGTGGTTCCCGTACCACTGGTTGAAAAGCCCTGCGATAGATTATAGAAAGCAGATGTAACTTTAGATAAAGAGGTAAATTGGTCAATGTTCTTATAACAGCTGTAAAGATGATTGGAAGCCGCTTCTTTGTATCCTGTTTTCTATTTTTTTTTTACTTTTTGTTTCTTGTACTTGTACTTTTAGCTCTCTTCTTTCTTACTCTATATTAGTTTGTATTAGTTTCTGAAAACTTTTAGTAAAGTTATATAACAAAATCACTCCGCTACTAAGCAGGCTCTCTCCATTGTTCTATTAAATTTGTCATAAGGCTTCCTCCATTGACTTCCCAATTCTACTACAAATTAGAGAGACTGAGATCCAGTAAACTGGCTAAAGCAGGAATAAGAAGATGCATGTAGCATGTGGCTGAATGGACAAGAACCAAGAAGAGGGGGCTGCTACTACATCTGAAGCAAGCATAATGTTTTCAGTTCCTGGGAGTGTCTTAAAACCTGTAGTTTCTCAAAGCAGCATATAAACTGGAAAAAATAAAATAAAAATCTAGGCTAAGTTAAACACATGCCAAGTCAAAAGACAGAGTAGAGAAACAGCCAGCAAATGGAGTTTTAGGAAACCCAACAATGCCTTATTATATCGCTTTAAAAGACTAAGGACCTTGTGTCGATCGGTTGTTGAAGAGCTCCCTAGTGGACAACAGCAGAGAATATTTCTTTGGGGATTTTAAACTTTATATAAATAAGTATCATTCACACAATTCCTTTTGAGGGCAAGAAATGCTTTGCAAAGCGCAAGAAACAGTAGGAAATATTAAGCAAACCCAATTAAAGAAATAAGAAAAAGAAAAATGCTGCTTAATTTAATTAATACCAACACATCCATTGTATTGCTCCATACTTTTCTTTGTTTCCACTATGTCCATACACCACTTGCAAGTTATCTTTTGCCTTTTAAACGTCTTTTGGAGAACCTCGCCAACTTCATTCAGTCACAACGTATTTTTTCCCACTCTACTCTCCATCTATTCATTCTTTCATTATATATTTGCATTGCAATTCACTTTTCATTATTTCCTTCTGTATGGCAGAATTACCTCCACGTACTTCTGTAGTAGTTAGCTATTTCTGTATCCAAAGGGCTTCACTCATTAACACCCCCCCCCATTCTTGATTATATTTACTATTTTACCACATACATTCCTTGTGTATCCTATTCCTGCTACATTCAACTGTTATGTTAATCCTGTTATGCCGAGCTCTTACATGGACAGATGCAAGCTCTTCTACATGAACATTTTCATTTGACATTCATTTTTCAGCATGTGCAATCCACTATCTTTCTACAGAATTTGCACATCTTAAAATTTTCTCTCCTACCACCTCATGCAGTTCTTATATATGTATCCATTAATACATGAAGTCACCAAAAGGACATTACCTATCCTTCTCTTTCTCCCGGCTAAATGCTGAATGCTTCATTAACTATTCCCTTTATTCTCCCAATGCTGTGTTTCCATATATTTTTTTTAGCACCTTCAGCAACTAGCTTTCGGCTCCATGTTTGTGCAAATATCCCATAATTCAAGCCCATTCATCTTCCATTTTTTCTAAACTAACAAATATTCAAAACTTTCTCATATTCACATATTTCTCATATTCACATATTTTTCAATGACCCATTAAAGAACAAAATATAAGGGTATTTTCCTGATATTGCCAAAATACAACCGAGATCAAAGGATTATTGTATAAAGGGCAGGAAACCTGAAGAATCTTGACCAATTCAGATCAAAAACTAATAATCAGGCAAGACCATTTATGATATTCATTCATTCATAATAGGTTAGCATCAGAACTAAAATTTAATATTTAGAATTGTGTTGATTTGATCCATTTTGTAAATTATCTACATCATTCGAGCACCATTTTCAAATGAAAATTATATAAATATATGGAAAGATTTTTCAATTTACCCAAGGTCCATGGTAGTCTACTGTATTTTAATCAAGTCTTCCTCAGTGCATAACCACCTACCTTGTTCTTTTGGAATACAGCTTTCCTTTAAAAGGGAACAGAAAGTCCTACTAAACAAGGATTAAATTGCATCTCTAAAGTACTTAACATACATGTCTGACAATCATAGGACACGAGCTGCAAAACGGTGCTAGGGAATACTAGACAGAAGCCCTAAATGTTTTAAAATACACATGAGAAAGAAATAATCAAAACCCACAGTGGCATTAATGTGCACCAGAAATTATTTGAAAAGTGAGTGAATGCTGGTGGAGCAGAACTCAGTATATTGAAACAGGTTAAAGAGAGGTTTTTGTCCTTTTGCCAGGAATACACCCACATGAAGTGCTCTTAAATTTCATTGAAAAGGAGCTGCACACTTATTAAACCTGTTTAAATAAACAAGAATAGGAGCTTGCATTATTACTCCCCACCCCCAAAAATGCAGTTAATGGAAAAGATTTAAATGTTTATGGATGTTCAGAAAATGCAGTTTCAAAAGCCACCTTTGGACAAAGATGACTAAATAATTCTGGTATGTACAAAGCAAATGTTAAAAAATTAGGTCAAAAGGCAATAATTTATTACATTCTCCCATTTGAATTCCCCATATTCTCAAAACACGGGGCACATATATGACCGATAATGGTTCTAAGCAGAATATTCTATGATTAAAGGAAGCAAGTCCATCTCCGTATGCGAGAAGGGGAAGGCACTTGGGTGTCTTTAGGAATTTCTAGCCAAGCTTAAAGCAGGGATTATTGCATGATACAATTGTTTTCCTAGGTTATTGGTGGGTGGAGGAAATTTCCATCAGTAGTCCGAAGAAGGCCAGCTGACATTCTGGAAAAGAGTTTCCACTTACCTTGAACTCACTCCAAATCAGAGACGCCCACAATAATAAGCTGCACAGAGCTCTAGTTCTATAAAGATTTTTATTTGGAATGAAAATATAGATATCAACCCTGAACAGTTAATTTCCCCTGTTCCATTGTCACTGTGTTTTGGAAGCCAGAAAGAGGAGTGGTACCAGAGACAGTAGCCTGAGGACTGTGACCAGAAGGCAGGCTCCTTTCACCACCTGGCCCTACTGCACGTCTCTCCATGTTCTCATTGCAAAAAGTTCAGACAAGGAAGCAGAAAACTCCTCCATGGGATTTCAATGGTCCTATCTGAGAAAAAGCATCCCACCTCCCACTGACTTATAGGTGGCCCAGGCTTCCAATAACACCCCCAACCCCACCCCACCCCCCGGGTGCACACACACACTTGCCACGAGAGACTCATAAGGAAACCTCAGCCTTATTCTCAAGTGGAGGGTACAGGCAGGCCAGGCCAAGCTGTCAGACAGCCCCAATCTCCCTGGGTGATATCTAAGCCGGCCCCATTCATGGGAATGGGACAGGAAATAGGCCATTGACCAGAATAAGGCAAAGGAGCAATGGTTAGGGCACTAGCATATGGCCCCTTGGATAATATGGGGTGCAGAAATGAGAGGAAGAGGAGATTTGGTCCGAGACAAAGCCCAAGAAACATTCCCAGTAGCAGCAAGAGAGGGCAAGCCCCTGTCTCACCCCACAGGGCAGGAGGCAATGTGAAGGGATTACTGGCAGGTCAAAGGAAGGGGAAGTAAGTGAGATCCTCCATGTTGGTCAGGTTCTCTTGGGGGGGGGGCACGCAAGGCCCATTAGAAATCACCATTCTCAATGCGGCTCAACTGCAACTCTAGCCTTGCAATGCGCTCCCCCTGTGCAGCCACAAGCGCCCGCAGGGATGCCACTTCACGCAACACCTCTTCAGTAAGCTGCCTCCCTTCCTGCAAATGGGAAAAAGTTGATCATTCATTATTTCATCATATTATCCATCTTTTTGCCCGTAAGATTCCCAGAATTCCAATGGCCCAACTCAAACCAACCACTAACTTACAATAACTGGAACAGACAGCAAATACAGTACATAATCTGGTGCAGGAAAAGGTGAGGAAAGCAAATCTGACCCACATTTTTAAGCCTGAAACAACACATATGCACAACCCTACCCTGATCATATGGGAGTCACAATAAGGAAGATGATCATTGCTACAGTTTCAAATAAAGAAATCTTCTGCAGCACAGGTTCTCAATTTTGGTGATTTTAAGATGTATAGATTTTAACTCCCAGAATCCCCCAACCAGCATGCATTATATACTTGGCTGCATCATGTTTCCAAGAGCCTGGTTTACAAAGTTGGTTGCAAAAAATTTAAGTGCCATTATTTGAGCAGCAAGGAGATCTGTGCAGGATCATATTCTAACCCAAGAATCATACCCAGCCTTTCTTAAAGTGCCGATACTTGTCAAAGCTATGAAGAGTCAGAAGCTTGCTTTTCTGCATGTAGGGAGGGCAGAAAGTCCGAAGATGAAGCAGACACTCAGTACTACCTTGCGAATCCCCATATGCCCCAAGCAACAGCACAGTACCCACCCTGCTAGCAGCAGTAACACCAAGGGCAGATGTGGCAGCGGATGGAGTCATGGCACTGGAGGGTGTGGCACTCAGCCCAGTGTTGGAGGGAGCCGCCGGGCGACCCTCAGGCAACAAACTTCTTCGGTTGACCTTGAAATCCCGCTGTTTGGTGGGTACATAGGCTTCACGCAGTGAGATTAGGATGGGGGGTGCTGTCTTCCCTGCCACCCATTCCTCTGCCTCCATGGCAGCTTCCGGCCCAGCTGTGTCTGGGTACAAGTCATCTTGGAACAGATCTGACTGCAAAGAGAGGACAGCATCAGCTTTCATGGCATTGGCAGAGAGCACCAGAACAGAGTCCTAAGATGAGTTACCAGCGTGTATTTAGCTGAACATGGAGAAAGAGACTAAATGTTTTACACTCATATGGAGCCCAAAATGTGAACACTATTTCATGTGGTAATACTAAGAATGTCCATTCTGCCTGAGAAATCACAAAAGGATAATCTGAGAACACAGACTTGAGAAAGGAGCATCTTAATTCCTCAGTGTTCATGGATCTGTTTCTAAATGGAAACCACTTCTCTTAACCCAAACATGTTGTACTGTTGCACAATCTACACAATAGTAGAGGGAAAAGTCTCTAGAATCAATCCTTTCACCAAAGGGATTCTAGGTAGTCAAGGAAAATTAAGTTTTGAACTGAACCATTCTAATTCTGTTTTAACATTTTTCTTTACATTTCTGAATAAAGATCAATTCTACTGGAACATTTGGAAATCATATTCAGAGCAGAATGTTGCATTTCATGGTGAAAGAAGTATGTGGCTGAAAGGAAAAGAAATTGTCACACGGGGGACAAAGAAGGCCAGGAAAACTTAGATAGTTATGTTTCTCAGAATCATATTACTTCAGAGAGATTAAAAATATGAATGAAAACAGGTGTGTGTGTTGAAAAAAAACCCAGCTCTCAACTGCCAGGAATGTTTTAAACAGAGAGTATCAAATAGTAATACAATACAGCAATTGAGACCAATCCTATCAAGGAGTAGTAGGATACTATATAGATATTCTAAATCAGCGGTTCTCAACCTATGGGGTCAATCAACCATTTCACGGGGGTCGCCAAGCAAGGCTGTCTGCCATTTTTTTCCCCTTTTCCAGCGGGTGCCTTACCTCCCTTGGGCTGGGGCAGCTGGTGGCCCAGCCAGTGGTCGGCCTGCTCCGTCTCTGCCGCTTGCCAGCTACGCGTCGGCCGGCGCAGGGGGCAACACCACGCATGTGCAGCGCTCCCGGTCAGGGAAAGTCCTCGACTTATGACCAGTTGGGTAGTCCTTGACTTACGACCGGTTTAGTCCTTGACTTACGACCGGTTTAGTCCTCGACTTACGACTGGTTGGGGGTCGTAGCATTAAAAAGGTTGAGAACCACTGTTCTAAATCAAACTTGCCGTGTCACGTGAGGTGTCATGATGTGTTGTGACTTTTTTTGCACTGCCGGACCTGGGGTGGGCACGGCCTACATATGTTGCAACCAGTTTGACACCTCTGTTCTAAATTATCAATTCAAAGACCCTAATCTAAATCTTAGCACAACTGTAACCTTAAATTAATTTGCAAGATGTCTAAGAGACTCATGGTTGAAATAAGATTGGAACTGGCTGACCTTACCAAGCTTTTTAAAAATGAGATATAATGGGAACTGAAGCACATTCATTAATCTACTAGGTCATTGGCTAGTATTATTAAAACAACAAAATTACAAATTAATGCAGAGCAACAGAAGTCAAGATCCAAGGAAAAAAGTATCAGCCAAATGATTCCTGACATTTTATAAGTTGTCTAACTTGTGTTAAGAAAAGCACTGCTGCCAGAATCTAGAAATTTGTAGCCTGCTTTGTCTTTTAGCAACATGGGGGGGGGGGGAATACAGTATTAGCACACTTCCTAGCAAGATGCTAATAGAGCACCGCAGTGGCAGGACCTGCTTTCTTCCAGATTAGGGTTCTGGTACTGGATTTTAATTCTAGTACTGGATTTTAATTCTAACATTAGACAAATAGGTCAGATGCTAAACTGCAACTGCTCGCCTGCCTACTAATGAAGAGCAGGGAAGGAAGATGAACCAGGAATCCCTTATAAGGAAAGGCAGGCTAATGTCTTCTTATGAAGTACCCACCTTCCTTGGCACTGTCATAATAATGGGTTCACACTTGCGCTCATGGAGTTTGTAAAATCTATAGAAACAGAAAGGAACAATTGAGTTAATCAGACTGGATCTTTAAAAACTATGAGAATAATTCATGCTATACTTTGACTGCCTATTTGCTTTCTTGCCATTCACCTCTATACCTTCCTATTAACAATTTAATCTAATTACCTGGCAATCTCACACTTGTTGACATCCAGACCCCGCTTGGGCATCCAACCCATGCCACGTTGTGGTTCTTTGCTAGTAAATGTGTTCAGGAAGTGGATGTATGGTGCTTCTGCTGTGATCTCAAAATACCGGATGCTAGAATCTCCCTGGAAAGCAAGAAAATATAGCAAGATACACCATGACAGAAACCGCTTTGGTCGCGCTGATGGATGATCTCTGGCGGGCCCAAGACAGGGGTTATTCCTCTGTCTTGGTGCTACTCGACCTCTCAGCGGCTTTTGATACCATCGATCATGGTATCCTTTTGCAACGACTTGAAGGAGTGGGAGTGGGAGGCACCGTTTTACGGTGGTTCTCCTCCTATCTCTCTGGCCGGTCGCAATCGGTATTGGTGAGAGGGCAGAGGTCAACCCCGAGGCCTCTTGAATGCGGCGTGCCACAGGGGTCAGTCCTCTCTCCCCTCCTATTTAACATCTATATGAAGCCGCTGGGTGAGATCATCAGACAGCACGGGGTGAGGTTTCATCAGTATGCTGATGATACCCAGTTATATATCTCCTCCCCGAGCTCTCTCAGTGAAGCGGCTGATGTGATGGGCCGTTGCCTCGAAGCCATGAGGGTCTGGATGGGGGTTAACAGACTCAGGCTCAATCCTGACAAGACCGAGTGGCTTTGGATGTTGCCTCCCAAGGATCATGTCGACTGTCCAGTGTTGACTCTCGTGGTGGAAAATATACCCCCTTCGGAGCAGGTTCGCAACTTGGGTGTCCTCCTTGATCCACAGCTGAATTTGGAACATCAATTGACGGCTGTGGTGGGGAGGACCTTTGCACAAATTCGCCTGTTGCACCAGTTGCGACCCTACCTGGACCGGGAGGTTCTCCTTACAGTCACTCACGCCCTTGTCACCTCACGTCTGGACTACTGCAACGCGCTCTACATGGGGCTACCCTTGAAAAGTATTCGGAGACTACAGTTGGTCCAGAATGCAGCCGCGCGAGTGATAGTGGGTGCTCCTCGATACACCCACGTTACACCTATCCTCCGTGAGCTGCACTGGTTGCCTATTGGTCTCCGGGTCCAATTCAAGGTGTTGGTCATTACCTTTAAAGCCCTATATGGCTCAGGGCCAGGCTATTTGCGAGACCGCCTACTACCTCATAGTTCCCTACGTCCGGTTAGATCCCACAGGCTGGGCCTCCTTCAGGCCCCGTCGGCCAAGCAGTGCCATTTGGCGGGGCCGCGGAGGAGGGCCTTCTCTGTGATGGCGCCCATGCTTTGGAACCAGCTCCCCCTGGAGATTAGGACCGCTCCCACCCTGTTGGTCTTCCGTAAACTACTTAAGACCTGGCTTTTCCGGCAGGCCTGGGGTTTATAAAACCTGACCCCTGGATGACTGTCTTTGTACTGTTTGTTTGTTATGTTTTATGTGTTTTTTATTGTTAGCCGCCCAGAGTCCTTCGGAAGTGGGGCGGCTTATAAATTTTAAAAATAAAATAAAATAAATAAAATGACAGAACTGCCACTGTTTGGATGGCAGAAAAATACATTAGAAAACCAGAATTCGAATCATCATTGAGAAAGTTAGCCTGATCCATAACATATCTGAGATGAAGTCCCATATATGAGAATCAGCCTATTATACTATGTTTAATAGTCTGCCGTTACATGAGTGCACTGTGCATAACACAACATGAAAGTCCTTCCTGTGAATTTTGATCAATAGATCATCTACTCACTGACAAAGTCCTTAAGGGAAAAGAGGTAGACCTGACTCCCGATTATTTGAAAACACCAAAATATGGCCTCTTTCTGCCCGTACACTTTGACTTTATGTCTTCAGCATAGGGATTGCCCTCCAGATACAAGGGTCATTTCCTCTCATTCCTAGACAATGTAGTCATTTGCTGATGTAATTCAACTGACAAGAGTTACACCCAGAATTCTCAGGTATCAGAGAAAAACAAGCACAAAAACACAGGCCTAATTTTATTTAGCAACAACGGGAGTCTTGTTTTCTTCGCAATATTAATGCTGAATTACAAGACAAGCTACAATAGGAAAGAAAACTATTAGATCCTCAGCAGATTCCCATGTACTATGATAGAAAAATCAATACCAGTTTAGTTTAGGAATTGTCCTATCTGTAAAGATAACACATAAAATATACTGGAAGGCATATTCTGCCTCAATCAGGCACCATCATGAATATACCTGCATATAGAAACAAAGTAAAAAAAAAAGCATACTTTGCCACAGACGTAGATAATGTTGGTGTCAGGGTCGTAGAAGGGCAGAAGGGCCCCATTGCTTGAGTCTAGTTCCTGCAATGCCATAGGTTCTTCAAGGTTTTCCTGAAATTGACAGAAACAAGAAAGCACAAAGATATATTACAATCTCTTTCAGATGGTTACCTCCATGTCAGCCCCTTTTGTGTAAGGTTTGACTTAATTGTTGCCTACTGCCTCGCTGGTTGGGAATAAAGAGAGAGGGTACTCCAGACTGGTTTGGGAAGGTTACTCTACATCAGAGAATTGCTTGAGAGGGAGAATCTCCTCATCCAGGGTTTAGAATTGTAGTAGAATCTTCATCCTTTCTCAGATACTACCTTCACATTGTGGGGATGGTGCGAGGCAGTGATACCATTGTAGAAGACGGGGCAGGATTCTGTTCATTTCCTTCAAGATATAATCCTGAGGGGTTCTCTTGCGGAACCAAGCTTAAAGCAATACCCATTTGAGAAGAAAGCAACCTTCAGAACGGGAAGAGGAGTCTGTTGCTCAGGCTCTTGGAACTGATAGGGGTTTCTCTTCTATTGGAGTCTTCCTCCCCACCCAGTTGTATCCCGCTCCGTCCACCTTCCCACTCACTGGATCCCAGAGAGCCAGCTGCCTTTCACTCATACGGCTGAAGCCTGTTGTAAAGATCTTCCCATCAGCCAGGAAAATGGCTCGCATTGGGCGTGCTCCCTCATACGCTTTCTCCCTTTCCTAGTAAGTAAGAGGGAAAGGGTCAGGTTAAGATAAAGCAAGCAGGTTCCACAATAGACAATAGAAATTCTCCCTGCCAGCTCTGCTCAGATATCTCTTAAACTGAATCCAGACTAAGCTCTCCTATCAGTCATCAAGATTAAATTCAACCAGAAGACTTAACATTGTTACAGGTATTTAAGCACAATTTCTTCAGCTCTGCCTTACCTTTTCATTTTGTCCCCATTCTAAGGACTATAACTATAACCAAACTCAAAAGTGTTTCTTCAGAAAGTTGCCTAGGAACAGACTAGATTAAGCTGGGAGGCCAATGAGGTCTTTGTGATGAAAGGCTGAAAACATCAAAGACCTCATTTTTAATTTGCTTCTGAGCAAAGAACACAAAATGTTAAAATCTTGGCACTCTGCAGGAAAAGAAGCTTCTTGTGCCACTCTTCTCGCTTCAAAATTAATCAGACCAGCATTTACTAAACCCCCTTGCTGATATCTAAGAAATATAATTTGACTCCATCAATATTTAAAATCTCTTTCTCGCTCTCTAATATTTTAAATATTTAAAAACATAATCCAGAAAGAAAACAAAAAGACAAGCAAAAGAGGAAATAGAGATTTACAAGAATTATAAAATTAAATGACAATTTCATGGTAATATTTAGTTCAAAATATTAAAATATATCAATTTAGGAGAATCTAAATAACACGCAATGATTAATGACAATTATATATCAGGATGAGAGATTACAATAATTTCTGCCTAATCTAAAAAATACTATCCTTAGATGTTGACACATTGTTAGAAGAAATTCAAATTTCAGATGTGTTACAAGACCATATGTGGTATTATAATCCAGAAATCTTTTCCATGTTGAATTCTATATTAAATTTGCTTTTCAAATAAAAGGTTATTTTTGACATTAATGTATACTCCCACTACTTTGCCATTCTTCCACAGAAAAGAGTATACATAATTTCCAACAAGCACAGGGAAAACTGATACAAAAGTGAAATTTAGGATTTTGTTATTGTTACTGTCTTTGTTATCTTAAATTGTGCTGATTTTATGAACATGATTTTGAGCTGAAGAACAGTTTAATCTGTTGTTTTACAGATGTATACGCATAACCACAAATTCTAAAATTGAAAAAAAAACCTATGAACAGCAGGGACTGTTAATGCAGAAATAGAGATCAGGTAGCTCAGATCCATGTTAGTTAATAAAAATGTGAAATCCTGCTCATTAAATTATCTGCTCTGGAAGTAATTTTTATATAGTAATGGAAAATGCGATTTCTGCCATAAATGTGTAATTATATTTAAGAAGCATAGCCTGAGGAGGGAAAGCACTTCTGATGCTCCAACTGCACTGAGAAAATATCTTTGTATTTTATACAATAGGGTTTTATTGCATTTTCAATTTTAAGGGTTAGCAGAAATTTAGAAAGCATAATTAAATCTGCAGGTATACAGAAAAGAGGAAAAAAGCAATCACTGGGTGGCAATCAAAACAATGTTTTCTAATTCTTTGCCTTTTCTAGTTTGATGAACTGTCCATAGATCTAAAGAACAAAATACTTTATATGATTTTTTTCTACTACACTCTTTCACAAACTTCAGCTGTTAGATTGCAACTTTCTGAAAAAAACAAACAAACCCAAAAACATGTGTCTCTTTAGGAGCTAAAAGCATTTAGATAGCGCTGACGCAAAAGTAAAAAAAAAAAAAAAAGGGGGGGGGAATGTAGATTCAAGACTAAGCTACTATGTATCCCAGCATTGCAGTAATAATATAATGCATTCTTCTTCAACAACTTTCTGGGGCTAAGATATTATAATTCCCCTCTACACAGATCCTGAATTGGAAAGACAATATTTATGCCATCATCGGTGATAGCTTCCCAACACCATCATCCCCATCTCATTTAAAACAACTGCCTTCCCTAACATTACTAAATGCTCATCAGAAGATAGCTGGAGTTCATTACAGTGAGAGGGGGACCTTTGACCTATTTGCTTCATTGACTCATGGGGGGGGGCAGAGGACTAAAGAAGAGCTCTTCCTCCCCCCCCCAAAGTTTGACAACTCTCATCACTAGCAACACAGATACTTCAACAGGAACTCAGCAAAAGCAATTTTGGCTTGGCTGTGAATCCCCCCACCCCAGATCAAACTTTCCCAAAAGACAGGTAGGCAAGACTGGCTAAAAAGGGTTCTTTTAAAGGTACTCCTTGCTAACGGGGGGGGGGGGGGCATGAGTTCCTAGGGAAGAGTCCCTTTAAAGATCTCCTGGCATGAAGAAAAAGCTGCTTTCCTGAACTGGAAGATATGTGCATCTCCTATCCCCTCGTCTAACTGGTGTGAGAAGCACTGGAGTCATCCAGTCCTTGGCCTTGATCCTAGTCCCTAGAGCAGGGCTCCATTTCTGTTCTCCTGCTTACTTCAGTGTATAGTCCTCGTATCTTTCTGCCACCTATGTATTTTGCTACTACTGTTGTAACATGTATTCAACACAGGACTGGTGATGCTGTCCAGATTTCTTGCTGACAGACTCAGGCATCATTTATTCTGCTGAAAACAAAGTTACAAAATCGGACTGTACCAGTTGCAAAATTTCCATTTGCCTTAAGATAGCACCTCTGCCTCAAGCACATTCCACATTACTTTTTTTTCAGTTCCTGTAGTAGGATTATAGTTCTGCAAGCACACTTTGGAAAACCAAAAACAAAGTGAATCCTGTCATGTATCCAAATGAACATTATAGTATACTACTATGAATACCCACCAATGTGTCATTTTTATACAAATAAACATGGCAAATTCTTTTGTAATTCTGTAGATCTGCAGTCACCTTACTGCAAATCAAAGACAGTACAAGTTTAAGATATGATTTAAGCTAAAAAAAATGGAACCTGAAGCAATAAAACAAAGAAAAAGCTGTGCAGATAAGAAAATGGGGAATCTACTGCAATACCCTAAAATACAAAATACAATGTTTTTGAATTGCCAAGATCAGAATGGCTTGTCACAATGCCACAAAATTAATTTCAACTCTTACAATCACACACTGCTTCATGAATGTAAACAAGAACTCAAAGCATGTCAGACTTACAGCTACAACTTGCCCACGACGTGGATCAATGATGCGCACACTTTTGTCCTTACAAGCTGAACAGAACAGACTGCCATCCCGGTTCCAGCTGACATTATAAATGATGTCAGGATGCAGATTGTCAAGGTAGTAAAGCTCTTCTGCAGTGCCCACATTCCACACAATAACCACATTATCACAGCCTGGAATAGAAAGGAACAACTAAATGGTTTGCTATGGTTTTTTTCAGACAGCTCATAAGCCCACATTTTTCAAAACCATCCTGCTTGCAGCAGAAACTTCTCAACTTTGCTGCCTCCTTTGCTGGTGGTACCTGCACTCAGAAGGATGTTGCGAGCGGTCGGATGCCACGTGATGATGCCCACACGTTTTGAATGTCCTTCCAGAACCACCACTGGTTCGGTTAGAGGCACTGTGAGGCCACCCTCTGGGATCTGCCATACCTGAAGAGAACAAACAGTGCAATACAAGGGCACAGAATCACAATGAAGCTCACATGTGTTTCATTCTCTCCCATCAACACTGCACCTCAAGCACAATCCTCCCTTCTTCCTAACAGCATCCAACATCAGTGGAAATTTATTTGGAAAACCCTCTCCTCCACATCATACCCTGCATAGTATTATCCACCTACTACTACTACACAAAGCCTAAAACAGCACTTCACATTTTAAAAGCAAAGGAAAAAAACCTCCCCTAAATTAAACCCTGTTCTGGGTATAATATGGTTCTACCCACGCTGCAGTTTTCAACCTCTGTCAAATGAAGAACTGTAGCTCATGCCAGCAAAAGACTGCCAGTCCTGTTTTATCTAAGTGAAATATTCAGATATGCCTTATTTTTGCATAATTTATTCTGCCTTTGCAGAAATAAGAAGTGTATGGAACATTGGAGTCTGCCTTCCTCCCCACTGCTAGAAATCTTGTTATTCTATCCTTCACATTGCCCACACCTTTCCAGCTGTGAGGAACACTTTTCACATGCAAGACTGACTGCAATTGCCTCAGCTTTAAGATGCATGTGGAGGCATGGCTACTGAAGAGACCACTTTACCCACTATACACACCTACATACAAACTTTCCCCATTTCCATCTCACCATAACAGTGCAATCCTCAGAACCACTGGCAATGATATGATCATTATGTGGACACCAATCAATGTCCAAAACTGGTCCAGTGTGCCCACACACGGTAGGGTAAGACTTATCAATGCGCCCTGTCTGGGGGAGAAATAAACGAGATAAGAGTTGACATACAGTTTAAGTCTCTCACAATCTTATTGCAAGCTGGAGTCCCGTTTTTTGTCTCAATTTTTTTTCCATATCAAGTCTCTCTCATAACCCTTCTCTTCCACCCCCAATTGTCTATAAAAGGTGGATCCATTAATAGAAAGATTAATATAAAGAAGTGACAAACATAGAGACAGTGAGTGGTCATTTTTATTAGAGTTTTCTGCTTCTCCTCCTCCCCCTTTCCTTTTTCCACCTTGAGCCCATCCTTCACCTTTTGCAGCGGGAGCACCATAAAGGCCCCCCCTCCACTGGCCTCGACAATTACTGCCACAAACTTGAGGTTGACAGCACAAAAGGTGCTGTCCCAGGTGACTCGTGAAACCCGGATGTCGTCATAGCACTGGTCATTCTTGACAGGCTGTCCAAAGACGTGGCGGAATTTGCTCTGACGCACAACCTTACGAAAGGACATGACTGGAAAGAGACAGAGCAAAAGTCAGAGAAAGGGTGCACACACAAGTATAGTGCAGGGATTCACTTATGACTGCTGCCCAGTTCGACGTCTTGCAATTTCAAAAGCATCGCTGCCAATAAAACCAGTTGCATCATCAGACAGTATCTGACTCTTAAGGGGGACTGGGGCCAGACCAATTGTGCTCCTAAAGAAGATGGGAACTGCACAAGAAGGAAGAAAGTAGCCACCAGTTTTATTCTTAGTTGCATCTCCTAAAATATTACCCCATATAAATTGGAAGACAGACCTAATTATCCTATTCCTTTGAGAAAAAGTAAAAAGCAGTTCCACGTTGTCCTCACCTTTAAAAGAGAGGCACGATAAAACATCAGAAACTAAATACAGTTAGTTCTTGACATTATCACAATTTGGAGCAGAACTTTTGTTGCTAAGCAAGGCAATTCTTAAGTGAGCCGTGCTCAATTTTATGACTTTTTTCTCCCCACAAATGTTAAGTGAATCGCTGCAGTTAAGTGAATCATGCCATCAATAGGCAAATCTGGCTTCCTCCATTAATTTTGCTTGACAGAAGCCAGCTGGGAAGATTGCAAATGGTAATCACATGAACCTGGGACCCTGCAAAGGTTGTAAATACATGCCAGTTGCCAAGCACCCAAATTTTGATTAGGTGACTGTGGGCATGTTGCAATGGTTGTAATAGCAAGGACCAGTTCTAATTCGCTTTTTTCAGCACTGTTGTGATTTCAAACGGTCACTAAACAAATGGTTGTAAATCAAGGACTACCTGTAAAACAGAACTAGAATAATCAGATGGCATGAGGGCAGAGCAAGGCCTAACTCAGAGAAAGCTCACAGGAAAGCCCATTTGGTGCCCTCTAACTAGAGACAAAAGACAGAAAGGGAATTACCTACACCACAACAAAGCCTTAATCTTTAAATCTATAAAACACGGAAAGCAAACTGGGAGGTTGCCTCAACACCAGATCCAATTGGATCAGAGTCAGAAACCAACCCAAACTCCAAACAGAACTCTTTCAAGCTAGAGGGGAACAAATGAAGTCCCACCAACAACAATCCATTCAGTTATTCAGAGTCCAATTTCAGAATGCGCTGAATGACTTCTGGGGAAGTGAGCTAGGATTACTCAATGGGGTGCATCTGCTTTCCATTCTGTTCATCAAGAGGGATCCCCCCTTATTTCCATAAGGAAGCAGAACCTATAGAAGCAAACATCTTTTAGAAATTCCTAACAGATCAGGTGGACTAAACGGTGGGCAATCATATAAATGCTCCTGCACATCCTGGAGAATTTGGAGGGGAAGTGGGGCTATAAAATTGACCCAATCTAATACAGTATGACAAGCACTTTTGTGTAGTGGCTAAAGACACCAGGCTAGAAACTGGGAAAGGTTGAATTCTAGTCTTGCCATGGACTCAAAGCCATCCAAATGATTTGGGACCAGTTACTACACTGTTTCAGCTCCAAGAAGGAAGCAAGACAAGCCACACCTGAAAATGCCGATAAGAAAACTGTAGAGACTTGTCCAGGCATTCACCAGGAGCAGGCATACACATACACAAAACCAAACCTATATTAGCTGGCCAGAAGTGTACATCTAGAAGAGTGTTTCTCAACCTTGACAATTTTAAGGCATGTTGAGAAACACTGATCTAGAACCTCCCTGAGAGGGGGGAAAAAATGATTGAGAAATGTAAAGGGAAGGGGAGACGGAGGGGGCCGGGTAGAGAAAAAAAGGAAGGAACTGTTTTTCTGCAAATCAGAGTCCCACGAAGAAATGAATAAATCATCCCAGTTCAATTACTCCACTGGAGCAACCGGATGTGCAAGGAAAAAAAATGCAAGGAGCCTCCAGTTGGACTAAAGGGAAGGGGGGGGGGGGGAAATCTAAGCAAAGCAATATTTTTTTTGGGGGGGGGGAGGTAGAAAGAGCGCAACCTGGAGGGAGGTTTCCACCCTCAGCGTGTCAGAGACCTGCCTCGTAAACAGCGAAAACGCAAAAGGGGGTCAGTCTCCAGCCGTATGCAAAAAGCTTTTCCATTTCCTGGCAACTGGAACGGCCAGCTGAGGGGAAGCCGCGTAGAAGAACGACAGCCACCGCCCCTCAATTTTTTTAAAGCGAAGTTGAATCTGAAGCTGTTGCATCCCCAGGATGGCCGCCACCTTCGATTTCCGAGGACCGGAAAAGAAAAGGCAAGGGAGAAGCTACGGCAGTATCGCTGCCCAGTCCGGAGGCGGGGAGCGAAGGTAGTGATTTTAGCAGTCTGCCTTCCGGCCTTGGGGCCCGGGAAGAAGCCCGGGAAGAAGCTCGGGGTGCCGTCCACCCACCCCGCCACCCCCTATCTCCATCAGCGCGCTCAGGACGCGGTCGCCTACCTCCACTCACCGGCTTGGAGGAACGGAACGGAGCAGCCTCTCCCTTGCGCACAGCCCAGGGCGGTGCATGCGAAGGGAGGGACGAAAGGCCCGGAGTGGGCCGGCCTCTCGGTGCCTACAGGAAATGACCGAGGAGGCGGAGGAAGCTCGCTTCCCAAGCACCGTTTTTACCTGCTTTGCGGGAGGAGCGGCCTAAAGCTCGAAGGAGAAATTCCTCCGGTACAGGAAGGGGCTGTGGCGACCGGGTACGCCGAGCCCGACAAGAATAACCAAGGCGAGCGACCGCTGCTTGGCTGGAGCTCCCGCAGCAGCTCGCTCGGGCAAGAGTCGGCCGCTGTAGTGGCCTGCAATTCGGAGAAGACTGCGGCGGTACGCCTGGCCAGCCCTGGAGGAGAGGTTCAGGCTGGCAGCCGGGATTCAGAGGCAGGATCCCAGCGGTCGTGGGAACTCATTTCGAGGAAGAAAAGCGCCTCTGGGGACGAGGCGGGAGCCTTTGCCTTCCCATTTGCCTAGCAGCAATTAGTTTATTAAGGGAACGGCGCGGTATTCCGACTCCCCAATACCTTTCTCCGCTATCGCTTGTTATGCGCGTTTTTCTCCTTTCACTGGGAGGCGGGCGCGCCTCCGTAAGCCCTAAACAGCATCCTGGAAGGTGCGCTTCCCTCATTTGGGGTCTACGAGCCGCAGCCCGGCGTCTGCTTTTCAGCTCTTCCAAGCGACCAGATGATTGCTTCCGTTGGGCTGGGATTTGTTATGGCTCTTTAAATCGGCCTCTTTCAAACTTGGCAACTTTAAGATGGGTGGAGTTCAACTCCCGGAATTCCCCTGCTGGCTGGGGAATTCTGGGAGTTGAAGTCGACACGACTTAAAGCTGCTGCCGACTTTGAAAAACGCTGGTGTAAATGAATCAGTGATCAAGCAGGGAGGGGTGGAGAGTGTGAATAATAAGAACTGTAGGAGTTGGCAAGGGCTAGAGGAAAATGAACTAAACTCCCCAAGAGAGCTGGTTGTGTCCAGTCTCTTAATTTCCAGAGATAAGGAACCCAGAACCTTCACAGCCATAGAGAGTAGGAGAAATGACTTTGTCCAAGATATGCAATAATTACCTAGGCAAAAGGGCTGAAGTATTTTAAAAGTCCAAAGCAACAAGATTATACTCAGAAGCAGCTGAGATGCTTCCCTGATTCAGACTTACAAGATTCTCTAAATATAGCCAATCTCAATAAAAGTAGTTTGAGTAGTCCTAAGTTGAGGACTACCTGTATACCCAATATTTCCGTTTCTAAGGCCATGGAAATAAAATCCTTGGTCAGCTTCCTTGTAATTTCTCTTTAAATACCTACCGTGTTTTCCCCAAATTAAGACCTGGTCTTATATATTTTTTGTCTCCAAAAGAGGCACTAGGTCTTAATTTTGGAGAATGACCCAAATTTAGGACCACCACAGCCAGGCCTCTCACACCCCGACACCTGTTGCACCGCTGTTTGACTTCTGTGGCCACTTGCTGTGACTTGCGGCCATATGGCACATTGCGCCATTGCCGCTCCTCCCGGCAGGACGCCGCATGGTGCTTTGCACCATTTCTGCTGCTCGCGGCAGGACACATGGCTCTTTGGGCCATTTCCACAGCAGAGACGGCCCAAAGCGCCATGTGGCTTCCTGCCTCAAGCAACAGAAGCGCCCCGAAGTGCTGCACCAGCCATGGAAGCGGCCAAAGCAGAAGGAGCAGCAACGGCACAATGTGCCACATGGAATCTGGGCCACAAGTGGCGGCATGCGGCTGCAGAAGTCAAGTAGCGCAACAGGTGTCAGGGTGTGGGAGACCTAGCTGTGGTGGTCCTACCGATAAGGTAGGCGGGTGTGGGGCAGCTTGATTTTTAGGGGTGCACCTCGCCCCAAAACTAGGGCTTAGTTTTGGAGTAGGACTTATATTAGGCCCACCCCAAAAAATCAAGGTAGGGCTTACTATTGGGCTGGGTCTAACTTTCGGGGAAAGACGGTAAGTGCAGCTATCATGTCTTCCTTAAGTAGGAACAACAGAAGATATGAAGGTGACAGTGCATGAATTTCTATCTGCCCTTGTTCTTTTCTTCCCTGTTGATAAAAACAACAGTAACAACCACAAGACATGCATTGGTTGATAGTTCCCTCTGAATTCATGCTTCAACACTGTAATCCCAAGGATATTTTCAAATATAGCATACTTGATTTATCTGTTCAATATTCTTGTAAATAATTTTGTTGATTAAGAAAAGTTCACAGAACATGTTGGTACAAATTTATCTACTGTGAGAAAAAAAAATTTGAACATGAGATTTTACCCTTAGAAGTGGGCAAAAAAGAAGCAAGAGGCTCTGTTGTGTTTATATCTTTCAGGAACACAAAAGAATGTGTTTGGTAGGTTGCTTGCTAAGCATAGCACACATACTTATTAGTTGCACTTCTTTATATGCTGCTTCCTTGCTGGATTTTAGGCAGCTCACAATAAATTGTAGCATAACATTAAAGGAACATATGACTGCCTATAAGATCCTTAAAGTAAAAACTCTTTATGTGGCTTCCATCTTAAATATTTTGACTGTTCTCTTAAACTGTACCCTTGCATAGGCCAATCCACATGTATACACAAGCTGTAATCACTTAAGTCTTTAATCCATAATCTCCTAAATTAGAAAAACAGCATTGTGTTCTATTGTACAAATTGATCAGAAGTGTGCCTTTTAAAAAGGGTGAAATGAACTTTTTTTAAATACAATGAATGTCGGAATCTGGATGTAGTATTTGTATAACAAATAAAACTTGCCGTGTGGTTAAGAGATATTCTCAACCAAAGAAATCTGGAAAGCAGGAAAGAGTTAACAATTGTTAGCAAACTCTTGATGCCTCTGACATTAATTTTGTGGACTGGGGCTGCCAAGAATGCTATTAGGGCATATCTGAAATGCTACGGGTCCCCCCATCATCTAAAGGATTGTGAATATAAATGTGTGTTTCTTACTTTAAATATATCCTGATCTTCAGCACTCAGCAATGTGCGGTTGACTTTAGTTGAATGTCATTATCCAGTCATAACATAGATTCATTATTGCCTTTTACCTGATAATTATCTACAGCCCTCTCAGACCAGCATTCAGCAATCACTAAGTTTCATGAAAGGGATGGGGGATAGGATGATGGGTGGGAAGAACAAAAGTGCACAACACAGAGGCAAAACCATTTAACTCAACTCAGTTCCACTTCACCATGTAGTAATCTGCTACACTTGCAACTAATTGATGGTTTGTTTAACCATACTTTATTGACTAAGTCACAAGTAACTGAATTAATACAATAATGAATGTTGCAAACCATTACTTATAAACAAGTGGCTGAGTTCATAAAATAAAGCAGTCAAAGTCTGCTGCAGCTGCAACCATAGTTTTGTGACTTTTAAAGACTACCAGTTTATCTTTGCCTATAATGCTACTTGGCATGAAAGGTGATTGTGTGTTGCAAGTCTTATGTAAGTGGATAAATGGCTGTAGGAGAGAGAGAGATTGTAAGCTGGTCAGGAAGATAAAAAATAGTAGAAACAGTGATATCTATATTATAGCAGCACTCATGAAACAGTTGTTGCTAATTACATAGACATCTTAATGGAAACTAATTGACACAGTACTATTATAAATACCCATTCTCTTTCCCTTGAAGTTGTTTTGTTAACATACAGTTCCTTTAAACAACTGAGATAAAACTTCCAAGTCTTTAAAATAATTAAGGAGAACAGAGATTCTGCAGGCTTTATTTGTTAAGATAAACAATAAGAAAGTTATCTGGGTTAATCATAAAAATAAGAAATATTTAAAAATCTCCTTAGCATGCAAAAATGTATCTGTTCATTCAAGTTGCTATGTACCAGGAATAGCCACACTGAACTCAGTTATGTTTATTTCTGAGTAAACTTTGTATGCTTTATAAATCCTTTTGACGCCAGACTGACTAGAAAGGAATTTTTACAAATCACAATTATACAACTGGATGCCTCAATAAAAAACTAAAACAGAAAATGAAAACAGAAATAAAAAGAGCTTCTAAAACTTAATGAAGAAGTTTATTTGTTGCTGTAGATGTTGCTGTACTTAAACAAATATAAAAGTGAAACTTTCACCAAAGTGAAATGAAATGCAGTCCAATGCATGTGTATGCTAAAAAAATACTTGGTTTTTTTGAGCTTAATCGGTTAAAATGTTTCACAGTCAATTATGATGTGATGTATATTATCTTTGAAAAATGTTGTTAAATAAATCAGTACAAACTGCTTATGAGCTATTCAAAGCAATCTATTTTCAGCTAACCAAGAAAAATAAGTTGGTCAGGGAACTGCAAAATATAGGATGTAAAAGCAAATGGAATACACAATGAATGTTTCAAATGTATTCTTTGTCCTCAAGTAGCATCACTTCTTTTTCCTTTTAATTACTGTTGTGCAACTGGGGATGACTTTGTTGATCTAATGATAAAGCAATTTAACTGAGCTTTGGAGTGTGTGTTATTGAAAATTTTGATACCACTATAAATCAGTGAAGCTAATAATGTTTCCACTCACAATCTTCTATGGGATAAGATTACCTTAAAACAAGGAAGTCCAGCCTGGGCTAATTTTAAACCGTCCTGGATTGTAAGGACTTAGTAACTTCTATGGGCTGTGTGGACCTTTCTGTGATATCTTGTAAACCATTCTGAAAATGGGCAAGGGCACTTTACAGTACCAAAATGTTTGTATTATTTGTACTTATTACTGTATTATTTTTGAATGTTTTTTTTATTAAGTATGTGTGTGCCTTCAAGTCAGTTTTTGACTTCAGATAACTGCAGGGACTAGTCCAGGCAGTCTTCTTTGCAAGGTTTTTTGGAAGTGATTTAGCATTGCCTGCTTCCTAGGGTTGAGAGAGAATGAGAGAGAGAAAGCCCAAGGTTACCTGCTGGTTTTTGTGCCTAAGGTGAGACAAGAATTCACAGTCTCCTAGTTTGTAGCCTGATGCCTTAACCACTACACAAAACTGCCTTTACAATAATATTTTACTCTTTTGAAAAAATATTTTTTTTAAAATAGGTAAAAGGACTGTGGGAGTTTTTAAAAATAGGTTCTGAAAAAGTGTTTAAAAGCAGGCATTATAGCACCTATTTGCAACTGTGTTTTCCCCCAGCATTGTAGGGCTGTTGTATCCAGTTGTCCTGAACCTAGGAAAAGACACAGCTGCTTTAAAGAGTTGCAGACAGATGCTATGTATGCATTCCCATGTCCTCCAATGCATCTGCTTGGAATTGAAACAAACATTTATATAACCATTACTAATGACAAAAATAAATCAAACATGTGTTTTTTTTTTCTTAAATAACAGATGGTACTGCTCAGTGATGTAGTGCCCTCTGCTGATTAAAAAAAATAATGCAGATTTATTTGTTTACTAAAATAGGTGGAAGCAACAACTTCTTTCCCAATCTGAAAGGAGAATGGGGAACCAGAACCATGAAAAGCAGCTCAGGGTGACTTGAGATATGGAAGAATCAATGGGAAAACGGTGTTGCATGGCTGGGATATGGGAGGCTGGAGTCATTAGGAAGACTCTAGAAGAGGAGGGCTTCAGAGAACGATGGATGGATTAGGTAGCTGCAAAGCTTGAGATAGGAAAAGCAGTAGCAGCCAAAACAGATAGTCCTGTATGCAGAATGGGCATGGGGAGAAGAGGAAGCAACATGGTTTGTACTAAAAGCATTATCAAGCCATTTTGTATTATTTCCCTAAGTAAAAAGTCACATTAAAGGCAAAGTCTGTTTTGAGTCATGGTTAGTAACATCATGCACACAATCGTGTGATTTTATTGGCAACATTATAGAAGTGATTTTTTCCAGTACCCCTTTGTATTTCTTTCTGGCATAGATGGATAGATAATAGAGAGACTGACAAAACCTTAGTATAGGGTCTCGGCTATAAGCCTCAAACTACCTAGAGGTGTCTGGTGCAAGTGCTATGCAGATCCGACCTTCTTAGGTTTTTAAGATAAGCCAAGGTTCACTAAGTTTAAAATATAAGATTAGATCTCTTTTGTCAAATGTTAGAGTTTTGCTTCTTCCTGTAGCTTGCTGTTGGAGATTGGGAGAAGAGGATACACCCATTACATTTTAGCTCCAGCACTATCAGTTCAGGATCCTGTCTAAGCCAACATTCAGCCCTTAATGATTATGTTTAATAAATGCAGTCTCAACCTAAAAAGTGTACACCCCCCTTTTAAAGATACATTCAACGCTGTCTTTTCAGTGATGGAGAATCATAGATAAACTCAAAACAATGGTAGAAGGTATCACTTTTAATGAGAATATCTAGAGTTCCCTCCGGGAAAGTGGGTTATTTTCAGGAGAATTCTGGTTTTAATCTTATGCACAATTACCAGGGAAGGGTGAGCAGTTACAGGGAGTAGGCAGAAAGAGATTGAAGTGATTATCCTGCCCACAGCTCCTACTGGTTCTCTGGTAGCTAGTTCCAAGGAAAAGTGGTTGTCTGGAATTTAAAAAAAAAATAAAGATTCTCCAGGCATAGATCCCAACCCTGTAGTAGTACTACTTTGTGTTTTTCCTCAACAATAAGATGGGGGTAAACATGTTTTTTTCTCAATTGGAGTATAGTTGAGCAGACATGCTCACACTCCTACCTGCCTAGGCCCATCCCACATGGGAACTCTAGAACTCTTTCCTTCTAACCCTGGAAGAACCTATAGCCAGAACAGCTTTAAAGCCTGCCCTGAAATTACCATAATAATCCCCTCTTATTAGCTTTCTATCTGCTCCTTCCTGGGGGTGAAATCTAAGAAGATTACCTTGGCTTTCATACTCAGAGGCTTCATACAGGGTTGCCTATCTCAGAGAAACGCACCTGTCCCATGCCACACAAGAAGCCAGTGGAGACGGAGGGCCTACCTGAGGGCAAAGTGGAAGAAGGAAAGCAGCCTTCCAGGCATGACAGTGAGTCCAAGGACAGCAACACTGAAAGCCCTGCCCCTGAGCAAAGCTCACAGCCGGGTCCTCAGACCAAGCACAGCAAGAAGCATCAAGATGACCCTCATGCAGCTGCCACCAAGGCCTATTCCCCTTTCCTCAACAGGCTCTTTGGCAAGGTGAGTGAGTGGCTGCAGAGCAGGAGCAGGCAATTTTCCAAAGACCCCAGCAGGCTCTGTGGGAGGCTGCGTGCCACAAATAGGAAGGTCAAGGGCCTGTTGGGTGGGACCTCAGGGCGTAGGACTGGTAAAATTGATCAGTCAAGTTTCTGCAAGCTTTAATACATCGGCCCTCCTCAACAGCTGAAAAAATGCCATTGAAGGACAAGCTCCACAGTTGTCTTAGCGGGCCGTTCTTCAGTCCATGGGCTGGCAGAAAAGCATGTTGGCTTAATTTTTATTCTGTTACAGGAAAAAGGCCAAACACTGGGGCTCTCCTTGCAGACTGCAGTGCAGGATAACTTAAGGAGAGGAATTGCTGGAGTCTCTTATCTTTGTTCTTCTTACCAAGCATTCTGTGCTGGCAGGAAAAACAACACTAATGACTCTATCTTAACATGCAAAGAGGTAGGGCTGGGTGAGCATAGGCAGGTAGTACCAGGATCAGCCGGTTAAGCCACTTGTCAAGCTGCCTGGCTGACAGATCGTTGGCATGGAGGCCCTCTACATTTCTGACCTATCAACAGTTTTTAGACTCAGGTCCTGTTTCACCCAGCCATATCCATTAACCACTGATTTTATTACCTCTTTATCACTATTGTCTTGATGTTGTTCCTCCTCTATTGTTGCTGCAGTCACTAGGGAAGAGGGTTTCACTTCCATGATGCCCCCAGTCCTTCCCCCAGTTGCTCACTTTCAGCCATGCCCATTCTGGAGATGGAATATGCCAAGATGACAATATAGCAGTGGGGGGTAGATGGAAACCATGCCAGGCTTTCTCTTGGCATCTGGGATGGAGAAGATCCTGGTTGCCAGGATTCCCCTTCTTACACATGTAGTAAAAGTGAAAGGAGGAATGGGAAGTAAATTTAAATGTCATTAAAGTCTCCTTATCCGTATTTACTGAGTTATTCCATGGCCATCCATTTAGCCTACTGAGATTTAAAACAACCATGGGTTTCTGGTGTAGGTCACAGGGAATGGCAAACGGGGAGGGGGTCACACTATCCTCATCACTAATGTCACTAGAATCCTGGAAAATTGCACTGAAGTGCCTTGGCATCCAAGACTGTTGTTTACTGCAAAATGTTTAATATGCAAGCCATGTGAGACCCTCTAAGATATTACTCTGGCACTGGAGGTATAGAGGGAGGGAAATAAGGAGGGCAAACAACATTATATCCTCCTTTTAATAGCAGATTTCATGCTTTGATGATGAATAGTAGCTAGAATGACTTTACCTAGACCCAAGAAATTAGGAATGTTTGAAGTTTGTCAAAATAACCACTAAACACACACACACAAGGGAAAAAATGTAAAATGATGTACTGTTGGTGTGGCTCCAGAAAAATTGTCCAGAACATATATACGTACTTCAAAATTATGTTGATGGAAATGTGGATAACATGAAAGTTCATTTTATCATGCCTGGCAGAGTTGTAAAAAGCCAGAAATTTCTGGGTTCAAATACATACAATATATGATGTAACTTTGGAATTAGAGATTAAAATATTAAATATAAATGTTACTGAAATATAAATTATAACTGCTGTCAAGAAGATTGAAGGCTACTTTAGAATGTTTTCATTTTCTTTTTTCATTTTCACTTATTATACTACTTGTTACTTTATTCTTCTTTAATTCAAAATTTGTATTGTTTTTAATTCTGTTGAAAAACTTCAATAAGAACCATTAAAAAGAAAAATTCAAGAAAACCTATATTTTCCAACCAGAGTCCCTTATGGCCTGAAGGAAAGCTAGTGATGAAATTGGGCAATGAAAAATAAATATGGAGAGCCTGGAAATAGTAAGTTCCTGAAGGAAGAATTACTTTCATCTCTGAATTGAGATTATAATTCAAAAGTAACATTAAAACAGAAGTTGCAACAGATTTGTCTCTTGAGGAGTGAGTAAAAGTTCCTCACTTTTGAAATGTCAATGCCAGAAGTAAATGTTAGTTAAATGTAAATGGATTTCCACCCTGCTACAGGGATGGTGGATGGTGGACATTTTGGTTTCTAATATTGCAAGTGTTAGCTTATTTCTTAGACACTGCTTGATTTTGCTACCAATCTGCTGGGTTGGTTTCACCTTAGCTTCAACCCTGGTAAGAAAATACTTTATTTTTATACTTTTTAAATACTTTATATTCTGATATAAAGCTTCCCACAACTGCATTCCCATGGGCAAAAATATGCCGAAATGGCAGGTCAAGAAGTGGAGATGGATAATTACTTCAGTGGAATCTGACTTGTACTTTGAATAGTAGTAATTTGAAAGAACATGTTTTTTTTGTAACTAAGGAAGCTTTCACTGGATTTGAAAAACTTAGCCTCTTCATTTTCCAAAGCGTTCTCTTGCTGCTGAAAAATGAGTGTATTTCCTACAAAGCAATTTTTTAAACCAGCAAGCACTGGTTTTTAAACCAGCAAACAATTTTTTAAACCAGCAAGCACTGGAGGCCATGGGACTGTAGAGCTGTGACAAAGCCTTAATTTGCACGCAGCCTGCAGACTCTAGGTTCAGGAATGGCAATGTGAAAGATCTACCTAATGGGACCTGGTGAGCAACTGCCAGCCAAACTGGGCAATATTGGGATATACTATTTGATCTAACACAACTTTGGTGTTGGATGATCACGATCTACACTGGCAAGTCTGCCATTCTAATAGGTTTAATCTAGGTTAAAAGCAGAGAGCCTACTTGCCTGCTCTCTATGTAGCTAACCAGAGTGCATGCTGAGTAAGATATCAGAGAACAAAGGAGTTGGGCCACCACCTATGCATGCATATTCACAACTCTTATAAGATTTGAGATAATTTACAGTTTAATTAATGTTTAAAGTTACAATATAGTTACCCCACTAATACTCCCCAGTTTTACTTTCTCTTCTGTTGCATACTGATCAGTAATTGATTGATGCATGATACTATAAGCAAAGCTTCAGTGAACAGGCAACAAGTAGTCACAGACTTGAGGAACCAGAACAGACAGAAATTACGTAGGGAAAGGGTTGCACCCACTTATGTGCTAAAGAACAGAGGCATGACCCACTGAACACAGATGATCAACTCTCCACTGCTAATAAAGATAGCCCATATCTGCTGCCTTGTTAGAAGCCCAGAAAATTGCATTAGCTTGACCAGTAGGTAGAGAAGATATAGGAAAATGCAGTCTAGTGATTTCCAAGATGTCCTTTTATTTGGAAGTACTTCAGGCAGTCTCTACTTCAAGAGAGGATGAATGAGCAGCTTCTGTTATGAATAAAATCTTTACGCGTAGCCTCCTGGAATGGTTCACCTGGAATGGTGAATTAAAGTAGGCGTACATCTGGGCTACCACGATATGAGCAACCACTAGATGGCAACCAAGAGTTAGAGTTTGCTGTATTTCTTTGGGACCATCTACCCCAGTGGTTCTCAACCTTGACAATTTTAAGGCATGTGGACTTCAACTCCCAGAATTCCACAGCCAGCATTGCTGGCTGTGGAATTCTGGGAGTTGAAGTCCACATGCCTTAAAATTGTCAAGGTTGAGAAACGCTGATCTACCCGTAGTTCTAATGGTTGTGAGGACTCCTGTGACCCAGATACAGCATGTCTAAATTAAAACCTGCAGAAGTGAGCTTGATCTCCAATCCATTTAATCCAGACATGTCAAACACAAGGCCCGGGAGCCAGATGCGGCCCGCGAAGTGATTTCATGTGGCCCGCGAAGCCATCCTGGAAACAGTGAGGGAACGGCCCCCTCTGCCTTGGCCCTGGCCCAGGCCAGCTGGGAGCCAATGTACAATTTTGTGGTGGCCATCTATGCTGAAACATGTTCAGTCTTAGCTCCATAGCTCCCCCTGCATGGCCTGAGAGGAACAGTGAGGCTCCTTCAGTGGACCATGCCTTGACACTTGCCCCGGTCCAACCCCATTCTGCCAGATCTATCCCACTCCTGCCCAGGCCCCCACAGGCACCCTTGACGCGAACGATGTAGAGCTGGCCACACCTACCCAGTAGGCCATACCCACTTCATCCACACCCACCTGGCCCCCTGAGGGCAACCGCAATGCTGATGCAGCCCTCAATGAAATTGAGTTTGACACCCCTGATTTAATCCAATTTTCAGCAGATTAATTTGAGAAGGGATTTCTCACTGGGTTGGAAGTATGTTGGTATTTGGGAGGGTGTGTGTGTTTTAACGTCCTCAACACTTTATCCAAGCTTTCCCCCTGTCAATCAGAGATGGGACTTTTGAGGATACTTGTGGAGAAAATATGACTTTAATAGTAAAGCAAACAATGGCCACAACTAAAATTTGTATATATCTTTTTCTTCTCCTTTTTAAAAAACAATCCTCTGAATAGTCTGAATAGTCTTTTTTTTGGGGGGGGGTTGCTCTACTTTGTGCTTTTGTCTAATGAGACTTGGATTTCAATAAACTTTAGAACTTTCTGCACATGTTGAAAATCCCTCTTGTTTTTCAATAGCCCAGTTCTGGATATTTTCCTCATAGCGTTCCTCACTAACATTTATTCATTTGCTTTCTGAAAACTTCTGTTCACTTGGGACTTTGTTTCATCTTATGCAGATTATATTAAACATTACAAAGATAACTTTTTTTGTAATGGTACAAATTTCAGAGACAGCCAGATGTTTTTCCCCTTTTAATGTGCTTTCTAGCTTTGTAGAACTTTTTGAGATATTCCTGCAGTGAAAGCAGTAAGAAGGATTAACTAAATCAGCTTCAGTCTGGGAGATTCTGGCATCCTGATGGAATCTGAACACCTTCAATATTTCCATAGGCACAAAGGAGGCTTTTTCAGGGAACAACGTGTCTCTTGGCAAATTCTTTTTTGCTAATAGGGCTTCTTCAGCAAGTTAGATCTTTATATAGCTGAAATTATAATAAATGTTACTTATGAATTTTCCCTCCCTTCTTTTATACATTCCCCTATATTCTGTACATGGGATCCTCTGGTTTTCAGGTGGTAAAGTGAGATCTGCTATTATATCGCCTTTAGTTTTTGAAGAAAAGATGAGATATCTATAGTAAACATTTCCTCCTTTTTCTCTTCCTTTTTTATGCTAGGAAAGAGAGCTTTCCCCGTTGGAACTGGATGGTAAGTTGGCAATGTTTTAGGAACATGGATTTAGGATCTTAAGATTTTGGCCATGAGGGGAAGATGCAGTCCTCACTATTTCACTGCTGATCAATAAAAGGATTTTTACTGATTTACCCAGTTCCCAGCCTCCACTTACTTAAATTTAGTTCTTTTTCAGTGTCAAATTTTGAGGAGACTTAATTTTTTTAATGTTTATTGTTTTCAGAGACTTAAATAATTTAATTTAATTTAGTTGATTATTTATAATTTCAAATAGTTTCACAGACTAAAGAATATTCTAGTTTGTGATTTAATAAAAAAATTAGTTTGTTAAGAATATTACAGACATTTTTTTTAAGGAAGGGAGTGACTAATAGAGGACGAACAGTTCTTCAGGGACAAGTAAAGATATGAGTTAGACTCAGTTTAACCATTGTCATTTATTGGAGCTAATTATGAATTGCCATCAATTAAGCAAAACGCATAAATCATCAAGAAGTTTCCAGACCTGTAGTGAGATAAGTTTCTTGCAAAAAAGGGGGAAAAAATTCAAAACAAAAAAAATTGTTTACACGTAGTGCTCGGCTAACGACCACGATGGATCGAAAAATTTCTTTCTAAGCAAATTAGTTGTTAAATGAGTTGCGCTCCATTTTGCAACCTTTTTACCATAGTTATTAAGTGAATCACTGTTGTTAAGTGAATCTGACTTCACTTTGTGACTGACTTTGTCAGAAGCCAGCTGAGAAAGTTCTAAATGATAATCTCATGATCCTGGGACAATGTAACCGTCATAAATACATGCCAGTCAAGTGCCCAAATTTTGATCATGTAACCATGGAGATGCTGCAATAATCATAAGCATGAAAACCAGTCATAAATCACTTTTTTCAGTGTTGTTGTAACTTTGAATGATCACTAAACAAATTGTTGTAAGTCGAGGACTACCTGCATATCAATAAATGTTATCCTAAGAGCATATTTGCCTTCCTCTTTTTAATTTTTTTCCCTTTTTTGTTCTTTAAGGAGGAAAGATTGTAAAGATTTGTATTAGAAGAAAAGAAAGTACAGAAAGTCAAATCTGTGATAATAATAATTGTTTATGTATAGGAGTTTATTAAGGTAGTAAACTTTCTCTCCTGCAAACTGTAAATGGTCATGATGGTTACAAATTAGCCAACGTGGCAATTTTATTTATCAGAATGATTATGACAGATATGCTATCTGGGCAACACATCTCTACAAAGATTACTCGTGCTTGTTAGCTTAAAGCCAGCCTGTCCAGTTCCTGGCAACCTCTGAATGACCATGGCTGTAAGAGAGCCCAAGGGTGTGCTTGCCTTCCAGGGCCATGGGCCTTTCCCTGAGTCCCCAATGGGGGAAGAAAAGTCAAGGAATCTTTGCTTCATGTCTGCAAAGTTTGTTTGTTTGGTTGATTTTTTTCACCTTTCCTGGCAGAGCTGCTAGATGCTTTCAAGGAATTTGACACGGATGAGGATGGCTATCTCACCTACAAAGATCTGGGTGATTGCATGCGAACCATGGGCTATATGCCTACAGAGATGGAGCTGCTGGAGATCTCCCAGCACATCAAAATGCGCAGTGAGTTGAATATTTATGTGCTTCTCCAGTTTCCAAGGCTCAGAGTCAATAATAGTCACAGGATGGGGTGCTGACAGGGCAGCTGAAGTAACCACTGCATACTATTTAGGCATAGGGATGAAATGTTATTTAGAGGATGTAAATTAGATTCAGAGTTATATTCATAGCTCATTACATTGTTTCTTAAATTACCCACAAACCATTTCAATAAAGTTGAAGAAATGCTAATCTCCGTGAAACACTTTCAATCATCATGTTCCCCCATGTCTTGTCTTATTTTATGGAACCGATGCTAGAGCAACAGTTATGAACTGTTGGAGAACAGGAAATCTAAGAGCAGTTTAATCTCATTCTTTCTCTAAAACAGAGGTCCCAAACTCCCGGTCCATGGACTGGCACCAGGCCGCAGCACATCAGAAACTGGGCCATGCAAACAAGTGAAGCCCCATCCATGGGATGTAGGCAGCACACGAAACCATGCCCTCTCCAGTCCACGGAAAAACCTCTCCCCACAGAACTGGTCCCTGGTGCCTAAAAGGTTGGGGGCCTCTGCTCTATAGGAACAGTAAGAACTTACAGAGTTCTGAAAGTTGGCCATTGTGGGAAAACAGAATGCTAGATTAGACATGTTTTTGGTCTATTCTAACATTAGATTTATATGGAACTCTTAGTTTCATATAAATCTAATCAGTAAAATAAATAAATTAAATAAATCTCTTGAAGAGAGGTAGTTTATATATCTAATAACACCATCTCCTACCTCATTCAAAAGTGCTTCTTCCATCAATTGAACTAATCGTTTCTTGTTATCTGTCCTCTTAGTGGGAGGACGTATAGATTTTGAGGAGTTTGTAGAGATGATGAGCCCCAAACTGCTTGAAGAAACAGCTCATATGGTGGGCGTGAGGGAGCTGAAGATCGCCTTCCGTGAGGTATGACAGCACAGCTATGAATTGGATATGTAAAGTTGTGCTGAAACCCATGCATATTTCCATAATTATTGATACTATTTTTTTATATATAAAATGGAAGAAGAATAGAGGATTTGGTTAGAAATATGTTTGCCCCTAGCCAGAAAATGCAGCATACAGCTAATTTATTACTATGAAAGAAGTAACAATGACGATTTAATTACCTATATTCCGGTGTATAAGACGATTTTTGAGAGCGTTGAAACAGCTTCCGAACTCGGGGGTCGTCTTATACACCGAGTCGTCTTATACGCCGGAAATAAGGTAGTTTCTGACGTATAAGACGACTTTCTAGGCAGGCGACTCGGCGTCGATCGTCTTATACGCCGGAAATACCGGTAGTTTCCGGCGTATAAGACGACTTTCTAGGCATGCGACTCGGCGTCGATCGTCTTGCGACCCGGCGTCGAACTCGGGGGTCGTCTTATACGCCGGGTCGCCCTATATGCCGGAATATACGGTATTTAATGATGTAAAATATGTAAAATAGAGACACTTACCAAATAATCTTACCAAAGATAGACAGGAGACAACTGAGGCAGTGGAGTCTCACTTCCTAACCCTGCTAAATGTATGCTGAAAGGACTGAAAGTAAGGGAATTTGGGGACTCTTTCTCTCAATGGAAAGGAAGACACAAGGTCAACCTTCCAGGCCTTTTCAGAAGAAGATATAATGTCATTTTTACTTTCTGCATATCATCCAACACACCAACCTCCTTTCGCCTACTCAACCCTGGAGGCCTGAAATTAGTTGGTACTGAATGTCAACTTCATAGAAGAGGTAAGGTTATTTCTTCCTTTGGTTTTCCTCTGAGGAGGGAAATCCAGAAAGAGAAATGGCTCTTGTACCACCTCCATCTAAGTTCAGAACCATAAGGGTTCACTAAGATTAACACAAAATGTCACCTCTCAGATAGTGTTTGGCTTAGAGACAGCTACAGGGCTAGCAAGAATAAATTGGGAATAAATACAAATGCTCTTTTGATCAACTGAAAGTCCTGAAGTAATCTTACTCTGTGTACAAATATCCTATGTGTTTGCTACTGTTCTTGTCTAATCCGTAAATGGCACCAGTCTTTATCAAGCTCATTTTAGCTTTACATTCTTTTCTCATACTCTATAGAATTAAAGTTTATATTTGGCAAAATGCTTTACCTTCTCCCCTCTCTCTGCTCCCATATGGATTTCTTGCTCTGAGTAAACAATATTAATAAATTGAAAAATATTAGTGCAGTGCCTTTTGCTTTACCCAGGAGTAATATTTATTTATCTGATTGATTTATTTGTGATTGATGTATTTCTGACTCTTTAAAGAAAAATTATTTAAGTGAATAGACATAGAGACAAGTAATAGATATTCAAAAGCATATTTCCTACCGGTCATTTTGATTCTTCTCTCATTTGTTTCTGTACTATAAAAAGTCTATTTTTCAGAAAAACACCCCTTTAATGTCTCATTCATAGTTCCAAGCCTTTCAAAATACTTCTTTCCTGGAGGCTAGTCCTTCTATGATGTCATGTCCAAAGACTTCATTCCCTTAAGCATTATTTTTATTTTCCCTTGCAGTTCCTTCTGAGTTCATTCAAACATCTGACTAGTTTCCAAAAGCCTTGTGTTGTCTTTGTGTAAGACAAACAGAGGAACCAAGGCAAGGAAAAGCTAATGGTTCACGAATTGTTTTATTTTCTTTCTGTGATCAGGAAATTAGTCTGATTTCTGTCAGAACAGAGTTCAGCCAAACTCAAGTCAAGCAGGAAAGGGAATTGAAAGTGGGTGGCAAAACAATAATTGAGTAGTCAACTTGAAAACTTCCAAGGATAATCATTAATCCCATGGCATAGTCACTAAATACACTGGCATTCTGCACCCGTGATAGCCACTGTCTTGGTCAGTGGCCCTTCAGCTACATGTCTCCTCTGCACCCCAAATATGGCTGCGGAACCTTGAGATTGCATTTCCCAAAATTTGGTAGCAAATGTCCATTTTGTGCAACATGACTTTTGGGGATTTGTTTTTCAAAAATAAAAGAGGAAATGAGAGGTAGAGGCCTGTGGGAAGGCAAACTGCACTGCAGTTAAATCCCCTCGCCCCTGAATACACAAAATTTCAATATTGCAAAGGAGTTCTCATGCGGGTGCTATGCTCATGCAAAAATTATCTAAGCTCATGCTATTTGTCTGTCATTCAGGAGAGAGAATCTGAAAAAAGTAACTAAGACTGGAGAATTTGGATAATCGGAAGAGGAGATAATAATAATAATAATAATAATAATAATAATAATAATAATAATAATAATAATAATAATAATAAAGAAGCTGAAGAAACAGTGGACCACCTGGTAAGCTGTTGCAAGAAGATTGCACACTGACTACAAGCAGCGGCATGACAAAGTAGCAACAATGGTGCATTGGAAGATCTGCAAAAAATATCATTTGCCTGTAAGCAAAAACTGGTGGGATCATAAAATAGAGAAAGTCATAGAAATGATAAAATTAAACTGCTCTGGGACTTCAGAATTCAAACAGACAAGCACCTGCAACATAACACCCCAGACTTAACAATTGTCGATAAGAAAGACAAAAAGTCTGGAGAGTGGACGTGGCAGTGCCTGGAGATAGCAGAATAGAAGAGAAAGAACTGGAGAAGATAACAAAATACAAAGACCTACAAATAGAAATAGAAAGACTGTGGCAAAAGCAAGCAAGGGTAGTACCAATAGTAATAGGCTCCTTGGGTGCAATCCCAAAACCACTGGAGCACCACTTGAACACCATTGGCATTGACAAATTCGCTATTAGTCAATTGCAAAAGGCGGCCTTACTAGGAACTGCTTCCATCCTGCGACGATATCTGTAATACCATCAAATATCCACATCTGCCTATCCCAGGTCCTGGGTAAGGACTCAATAGGTAGACAAAATGCCAAATCCAGTCTGAACATCTGGCTGACTGTGCGATGATCAATAATAATAATAATAATAGTAATAATAATAATACTAAAGTTGGAAGGGACCTTGGAGATCATCTAGTCCAACCCCTGCTCAGGCAGGAAACCCTATACCATTTCAGACAAATGGCTGTCCAGTCTCTTCTTAAAAACTTCCAGTGTTGGAACATTCACCGCTTCTGGAGGCAGGTTGTTCCACTGGTTAATTGTTCTGTCAGGAAGTTTCTCCTTAGTTCTAGGTTGCTTCTCTCCTTGATTAGCTTCCATCCATTGCTTCTTGTTCTGCCTTCAGGTGCTTTGGGGAATAGCTTGACTCCCTCTTCTTTGTGGCAAACCCCTGAGATATTGGAACACTGCTATCATGTCCCCCCTTATCCTTCTCATCATTAAATTAGACATGCCCAATTCCAGCAACCGTTCTTTATATGTTTTAGCCTTCAGTCCCCTAATCATCTTTGTTGCTCTTCTCTGTACTATTTCTAGAGTCTCAACATCTTTTTTACATCATGGTGACCAAAACTGGATGCAGTATTCCAAGTGTGGCCTTACCAAGGCATTGTGAAGTGGTATTAATACTTCACGTGATCTTGATTCTATCCCTCTGTTAATGCAGTTAATGTTGGCTTTTTTGGCAGCTGCAGCACACTGCTGGCTCATATTTAAGTGATTGTCCACTAGGACTCTGAGATCCCTCTCACAGTTACTACTATTGAGCAAGGTACCACCTATACCAGTGGTGATGAACCTATGGCACATGTGCCAGAGGCAGCACTCAGAGCCCTCTCTGTGGGCACACGTGCTGTTGCCCCAGCCCCGCCTCCCCCGCAGACTCCTCCTCACCAGCAGCCCCCATGGAGGAGAGTCACACCCCCCGGGCATGGCCTGCACAGAACAGCACAGCCAAGAACATGGCAGCCAGGCAGCGGAGACAAGTCTCCACTCTCGCACCCCATCACACACAGATGATGCTGCAAGATGCAGATGGAGGATGTGCCCATGGCGCTGCTGGGCCATCTGGGCAATCTGTGGTGGGCCATGGAGGTGGTAGGTAGCCCTGCAGGTGGGGCAGGGGGCAGAGTGTGGGTGGGGCGGAGCAGGTGGGCTGGGGCAGTTTTTGGGCACTCAGTCTCTAAAAGGTTCGCCATCACTGACCTATACTATACTTGTACATTTGATTTTTCTTGCCTAAATGTAGAACCTTAATTTTTTCACCATTGAATTTCATTTTGTTAGATAGCGCCCAGTGTTCAAGTCTGTCCAGATCCTCCTGTATCTTAAGCCTGTCTTCTGGAGTGTTGGCTATTCCTGCCAGCTTGGTGTTGTCTGCAAATTTGATGAGTTCCCCTTCTATCCCCTCGTCCAAATCGTTGATGAAGATGTTGAAGAGCACTGGGCCTAGAACAGAGCCTTGGGGCACCCCACTACATACTTCCCTCCATGTAGATGTGGTTCCATTGAGGACCACACGGTGAGTATGGCCGGTCAGCCAGCTACGAATCATCTGGTGGTGATGCTGTCTGTTATGTCCTGAGCCTGTGCAAGCAGGCTCGGGGCATTGCAAACGGTCCCGGGCAGGTGCAAGCTGCCCGGGACCAGACAGGCTGTCGCCAGTACTTGTGCGCATGCGCAAGTGCTGGCGTGCCAAAAGTTGCAGATTGACCCGGGAATGGCCTATAAAAGAGGCCGGGAGTTTTGGGCGTTGTCGGCGTCTTCTAACTTGTAAGCTGAACTGGAAATAAAGAAGTTTCTGAGAACTACAACTGCTTCTCGTGTCTTGCCATTTCACGAAGGACGCAACACTGGCGACGAGGATGGGATTGCCTTACATCAATGAAAAGAAGGTGTAAGCTTACCCGAGTGAGTCCTGAGCGGCAGGAACGGCGTTGACTCGGAAGCTACCCGCCAATCCAGCGTGCATTCGGGGGTAGGCTGGCTGATAGACCCTTCCTTTCTACAAAATGGCAAAAATTGGAAGGCTTTCGGAATTCGACGTCTCACATCCAGAGAGGTGGG